GAGTAGCTGGGATTACAGGCACGCACCACCATGCCCAGCTAATTTTTTTGTATTTTTAATAGAGACGGGGTTCCACCATGTTGACCAAGATGGTCTCGATCTCTTGATCTCGTGATCCACCCGCCTCGGCCTCCCAAAGTGCTGGGATTACAGGCTTGAGCCACTGCGCCCGGCCAAATTTTCTAATTTTTATATGAAAAATTTAGAGCATATGATTTCTCCAGTCTTTTTCAATCATAAAATTTTGTGAAGTTAATATGTAATACAATTAGATATGATGTCAAAATACTCAAGATAATACTTAGGTTGATCCTTATATTTCAGGTCATAATGTAGATGTTATTGTTTGAGAATGTTTTGAAAGCTCTTATGGTTACAACTACATTTTAAATTCAGCCATTATTGTTTTTCAGTCTTATAAATATTTTAAATATAAACTGCTCTTAATTTTTTGAAAGGTATCCTTTCTACAGTTTAAATTTGAAGATGTGACAAATTTTTATATTCTTAGAATTTAAGTTAATTATGCTATTTCTAGTGCAGACATCAATGATAACGCCTGCCATCTGTTTTCTTGTGTTTTTTGATGGAATATAGGTATAGAGAAAATAACAGAAAAGGATTTTATTCAGGATTATGACTGCATAACAAAATCGATATCCCCTTATCCAAAAACTTCATCAGTTGAATCCTTAAATAGTAACAGTGGAGTTGGAGGTACAATAAAGTCACCCAAAAACAATGAGAAAAACTTCCTGTGTACACGGGAAAGTTGTTCACCAATTCCAAGACCACTGTTTTCGGTGAGAATGTATATATTTTTTTCTTTATCAGGTATATCTGAAGGTAGTAAGTCATTTCCCTATCGTCTTAATCAGATATGCATTGCTTGTCTATTTAAGGTTTTGGGTTTGGTCTAGGGTCTTGGGGGAGAGGGACATAATGACAAGAGAGAGATACTTCCCAGTCTCAATGAACCTAACAGACAAATGTGTAGCTACACAGGAGGAAGACTGTGGTGGAAGGAGAGTACAGTAGTTTCCCATTATATGTAGTTTCACTTTTTGAGGTTTCAGTTACCTATAGTTAACAGTGGTCTGATAATATTAAATAAGGAAATTATTAATATTAAATTGCAGAAATAAACAATTCATATGTTCTAAATTGTGTTCCGTTCTGAGTAGGGTGATGAAACTTTGAGCCATCCACTTCGTCCCTCCTGGGACATTAATCAACCCTTTGTCTGGTGTATCCATGTTGTATACCCTACCTGCCTGTTAGTCACATAGTAGCTGTCTTGGTTATCAGATCAACTGTAGAGGTATTCCATCGCATGTGTTCAAGTAACCCTTATTATACTTAACAATACGCCTATAAGGGCAAGAGTATTGATGCTAACAATTCAGATAGGCCAAAGAGAAGCTATAAAGTGTTCCTTTAAGTGAAATGGTGAATATTCTGTACTTAACAAGGAACCAAAACAAAAAAAGAAAGGTATGTTGAAGTTGCTAAGATCTATGGTAAGAATGAATCATCTTTCCATGAAATTATGAAAAAGAAATTTGTGCATAGTATAATAGGGCTCGGTACTATCCATGGTTTCAGGAGGGTCTACTATATTTTAAGAAGTGTAACATATAATGTGATACATAAATGAGGAAGAATAAAGAACTTTTCAATACGTATTTACTTTTTATACTGTACCATTTACCTGTTAAACTTCCTTATAAACATCTAAACCAAATAGTATAATTACACTGTTTACAACTAAATTGTCAGTTTACTTTGTCAACTTGTAAATTTTGTAACTAAAGGTTATTAAAGGCCATGAATTTGAATTACTGTGAAATCTGAAAGAAGTATCTCCATTGCAGGAATAAGCATATTCAGATCTAGAAAATGTGTGTAGTTCTCATGTGTAGGAACAGTTAGTAGCATCTCTTAGGAAGTGATCATTCCTATTACAAAACTCTTATCTGTACTCTGTACAGTAGTCACCCCTTATTCTCAGGGAATACTTTCCAAAGCCCATCAATGCTGAAATGGAGAATAGTACTGAACCCTATATATGCTGTTTTTTTTTTCCTATACATACATACCTATGATCATTTATGTATTTATAAACATGTAATTTATAAATTATTACAATGACAGAACAGCTTTAACAATATACCGCAGCATCACTACTCTTGTTTTGCGGCGCCATTATTTAGTAAAATAAGGGTTACTTGAGTACTGCAGTATCTCCACAGTCAATTTGATAACTGAGGTGGCTATTACTTGATCAACAGGCAGGTAGCATATACAGCATGGATATTCTGGACAAAGTGATGGTTCATATCCCAAGCAGGACAGCAGGATGGCCAGAGATTTCATGGCACCACACAGAATGGTGCACAATTTGAAACTCATAAATTATCTATGGAACTTTTCATGTAATATTTTTGGGCCATGGCTGAACATAATTCATTGAAACTCTGGAAAGCAAAACTCCAGATAAAGGGGGACCATTGTATGTCAAACAGGTAAAAGTGGAACTATGCTGTTTAAAGTAGAAGTAGGATATCTCAACCCTAGATCTACCTAGCCTCCCTCACCTTCCTCCCTCAAATAGTCCCCCAGGCAAATTTCCAAAACTCTTGAGTTTTTACAGACCACAATTTGAAACCCAGTTTCACACTAGACTTATCCTGTGATCCTTTATCAATGTAGTTGGTCCTCCATATCTGTGGGTTCCACATCTGTGGATTCAACCACAGACAACAATATATATTTTTAATTGTGTCTGTATTGTGCATGTACAGACATTTTTGTCACCATTTCCTAAACAATACATTTAAAAACTAAGACTATTTACATTGTATTTGGTATCACAAGCAATCTCTTATTTTCCTAGTGTGTATATTTTCACTTAAATTACACAACTTCCCTATGACAAAAGATAGCACATAATTTCTTATATTACTTGTGATACCTAATACTCTGTCATAAGTAATTACCTTAAGTAATCTAGAGATCTCTTATGTATATGGGAGGATATGTGTAGGTTATATGCAAATACTGAACCATTACATATCACAGATTTGAGCATCTTCTGATTTTGATATCCACAGGAGGTCCCAGAACCAATCCCTGTGTTACTGTCATTCTTATTTTCCCTGCGTCCTTTCATCTTTTCAATATCCCACTTTGCAAAATCTCCAAACGTAGGTAATCCCCACCCACCTTTTTTGATGCTACTCTGCGTTAGATGGAATTTTAGTAGTTACATATTCATTAGCTGGGCACTCATGAGACATTCCCCCCTACGGCCCCTTTACTGTCAACTCTTAATAAGTTGTTGGAAATTCACTTTTTACAGTAGTTGAACCTGCTTACACTCTCAACACTGCTATTAGATAGTGCTTATTTCTCTACAGTTTTAACTAGGTGTTATCAGATGTTTCTGTTTTTGCCTGTCTGGTAAGCATAAAGTTGTATCTTTAATTTGCATTTTCCAGAGTAACTGCATCAATGAATACTTTTCACATGTTTTTTGGCCATTTTGTGAATTCTGTTTTTATGTTTTCTTATTTTAAATTGCATTGTTTGATTTTTCTTACAAATTTGTATGAGTTCCTACTATATTCTGGGCATTCTTTATTCGTTATATACAATGCAAACATTATTTTCCTAGTACGTATATTTTCACTTAATTACACAACTTCCCTATGACAAAAGATAGGACATCATCAAATTTACCAATCTTTTGGGGTGTTCAAGAACTCTTTCCATAAGCAATTGTCATAAAAATTATTTTCTTATAAAAATGTTAGTTTTGATTTTAACTTTTAGGTTTGAGTCTCTCCAGACTTTCTTTTTCATATGGATATCAAATTAGTGCAACATCAGGAGTGGAATCGTCTTAATTTAGTCATAGGCCGGGTGACCACATGGGCCTGGATTAGGCACTATTACATTTTATTATTTACTGGCCTATTGATCTGTCTCTGTGCTAATACCACCATTGCTTTAATTAGGGTCATTTTACATTTCTAGGGTGTTTCATACCCCCTTCCCCACCATTCTTCAGAATTCTTTTGGCCCCTTACTGATTCATATATATTTTATAATTAGTTTGTCCAAGGGAAGAATTGCCATTTTTCTATATTGATACTGATCTTTCTTATCTACACATCATTCCTCTCTCCACTTTTTCATTTTATTTCCTACAAAGTGTGCCAACTCTTCTACAAAGGAAATTATGTACCTTGTTAGATTAATTCCTAAGTATCATATGGGTCTTCTTTTTGCTATATTAAAAAAATACCAAAATCTTTTTTTTTTTTTTTACAAATTACATTTTCTGGGTTTTAAATTTTTATATAGAAAAGCTATTGATTGTTTTATCTCCAACAACCTTGCTGAATTCTATCATTCAACAGTTTATATGGCTGTCTATACAGATTCTTTTGAGTTTTCTGTATAGACAGCCATATAAACTGTTACTTACGATGATTGGAACAGAAAATGCAAAAAAAAATCTTACTCATTTTCTTTTTATTGTTAAGGTGACTGACCTGTGGAGCATAGAAACTATACTAGTGGGGATCTTTATCTCTAGGTTTTGGTCATCAAAGTAATAATCTACTTGCCTAAGGATTTTTTATTTTTAGTTATGAATGGGAATTGAATTTTGCAGCGAATTAAGTAGTTTAATGTTTCTTATGTTTATTTTCAACTCTTTTTTGAGGGGCTTTGAATAATTTTGTGACTTCTTTTGGGTATTTTTATGTCTTATTCATTCATAGCCCAGACATACTCCAACTAAGAATACTACTACTACAAATAGGAAAAATATAAGTTCTCTAGTACTTACACAAGAAACAACAAATCATAACAGCTATACAGATGCAAGCAGTTACAGTTCAGAAAAACAGTTTGTGGAAATTGAATCTCCAAATATCAGAGAAAATCATATACAAAGCAAAAGAGAGGTAAATATGCTACTCTAACTTATAAATTTTCCTTAAACTAAGATGGTTCTTGTAAGATTCAGATTACTGACCTTTAATGGTAATTATGCTATTTTAATGCTTTCAATTTGTTGTTATGTGAAAAATCTGATGTTTAAATTTTGTATAGAATGGCTTGATTATAGAAAAATGTTTTTTGATAGAAGAGTTGAAACTTTTAAAATGAGATTAGTAAGGTCTTAAATAGTGAGGATATCACTGCTGAACCCCCGATTGCATATGTGTATTTGGCACCTTCTGGTTTCATGAATATACAGGTATTTGGTTGAACTTCTTGTCACCATAAAAGCCTATCAGTTCATCAATAAAAATATTTTTAATAACCTGCAAAATACAGAAAATCAAGACAGAATTTTACAACTTGGATAGGGCTGTGATTTGAGCTAGACCTTAGTGTATGGGTAGGTATATACAGATTAAGTGGAGAAAAATCAGTAACCTGTGTAAAGGTTACTAAGTAAAAAAAACATGTATATTCAAGTAGTATAACATAAGACTAGATGTAAAAGAGGTTTTTTTGAAAGAAGAGTTTAAACTTTAGTTTTCTGTGGCTACCCATTTCCTGACTCAGAAACGGAAATCCTAATAAGAAAGAATTGAAAAGCAGGAATAGTTAAGAAAAAAAAAAAAAAAAGATAGCTCACAGCTATTAGAAGAAAATTGAGGTCAACATAGAATCGAGGTTACCACATGGTAAATATTAGAGATGAAAAGGAAGGGATAGAAGCAAAATCTGTAAAAGAATAGACAGCATTTAAAATAACTGGCTTTTGGGTTTGAGAAAGATGATGAAATGTGAATCAAAACATATTTACAGAATGTTTTCTAATTTCTAATATGTATTTTAGGAAAGCCATTCAGCATCTTCATTATCCAAGTCTAGTGAAGGAAGAGACAAAATGTGGTTGGACATGCCCTGTGATGCTACTCGTGTATCGGGTTTGTAGTCATAGTCTTGCTTAAAAAAAAAAAAAAAATTGCTGAAATTACTATGACATTTCACCAAAAGGAATTATGTATTTTAAGTCAAACCATCATTATTTAACTTAATGTAAAAAAATAGTAAACTAGGTAGAATTTAACGCACAGTTACCAAAAACATAATAAAATACTTAGTGGCAACAAAGTCTTTTTTAAATGAAAGCAAGAAAATATTAGGTATTTTTAATGAAAATTGTAGCACTTTTAACTTTGACTGTTTCTAAGGCCCCACTCAACATCTTAGTCGCAAACGAATGTGCATAGAAGATAATCTAAGTAATTCCAATGAAGTAGAAATGGAAGAAAAAGGAGAAAGGAGAGCAAACTTGCTCCCGAAAAAACTGTGTAAAACTGAAGATGCGGATCATCATATCCACAAAAGTAAGTAGATCATTAGCCTGTGTTAAAATTTAGTTATTTGGAAGGTGGTTCTTATATTTTGAATAATTCCATCCACAAAACAATTTTGTAAAGACAACTTTGGATATGCCCAAGATATCCAAAGTTTATTGAGAAGTTCACGTATGAATAATGTTGTAGTAAGGGTCTTATATACCCATAGATCTCCCTCATCATTCCATCACTTATGACATTTAGGTTTTACTAGAGTATGAATTTACTTTACTAAATATTTACATTAATAATAATGCAGAAGTAGTTAAAAAAAAAAGCTTAAAAATCCAGAAATGTTCTAGTTTAAAGTAGTCATTTCTGCCTTAATAGCCATGCCAAAAAGCTTTTTATAAATCAGAATAATCTCATTTTAAAAAAATCATAAGGAAATTTGCCTTTGATTTCATAATCCTTAGGTTAGCATAGATTCAGAAAATAAGATAGATTTTGTTCTTAGCCTAATGACAAGGCTAAATTTACAGTAATGCTTATTTTAACTTCAGCAGATTGTTTTCATTTTTTAGTGCCTGAAAGTATAACTTCATTATCAACAAATGACTTTTCTATTCCTTGGGAGACCTGGCAAAATGAATTTGCAGGTATAGAGATGACTTATGAGACTTATGAGAGGCTCAATTCAGAATTTAAGAGAAGGAATAATGTGAGTTATTCTTTAAATTATTATTTATACCTAGTAATATTCCATACTTTCTACTAGACCATTGGCTTGTTTGATCCTTTGGCAACAAAATATACATTCATGAAACTAACTTTCCTTATATGTGAATAATTGGAATAAAATATTATCCATATTCTCTCTTTTGCTACTACTTTCTCTTTTGTTCTATTTTCCTTTTCAATTTAATGTTTTGGCTCTTCTATCATTTTTCTTTTTTTACTGAACAGTTTTCATGCTGCTTTTCAAGACATTTTTTATCTCATGGAGGTGACCATTAATGAGGGTAGTATAGTGTAAGGATAAGCAGCTGCAGTCAGAGAAATTCCATTTCACTTTGTTCTGCTAGCTCTGTATTATACTTATGTAATCTTAGCTTGTGAGGTTCCCGTGAGATATTGAATGCAAACATGCTTTTTAAAACAATTTTTAATTATTAGTAATATTTTTCCACCTATCTCTTTCACATGCCTCTAGGGAATAGTTTTTTTATGCCCTCGTTTGAATACAAAATTTTTTTGGCGCAGGTTATCAACCCCTCCCACATCTTGCTTTCCTTTCTCCTATATTCAGGGTTAAAATTAGAAATTATTTGGATTTTTTTTCCCAAGGCCAACCTAATCTGAATAGCGATACTTCGACTCCTATGTTCTAGTACATGTCTGTAGCTAGACTTGAACATGTGTTTTTGTGAAAAATGGTTTTAAAAAATTCTGAGTGTGACTTTTAGGCTGTGTCTTTGGAAAATTATAACCATCAGCACTTTTGTAAATACTGTAGAGTGTTGTGTTCTTATGAAAACAATTGAGTAGTAATTCAAGCCTTAGTCAAAGACTTACTGATGGAGTTACACACTGCTCTGAGTGAGCTTATTTATTAACACTTCAGTTTAAATAACTGAGTTTTTAATTTTTCAGTTTTCCAAGTTCTTGGTAATTTACATTTCATGGAAAATGATTTGCTCTTACTGTAGTCTTGGTTAGATTGTTATTTTGTAAAGATATTTTAAGTTTAAAATGAGTATTTTTCAGATACGACATAAAATGTTGAGTTATTTTACTACGCAGTCCTGGAAAACAGCTCAACAACATCTGAGAACAATGAATCATCAAAGTCAGGAGTCTAGGTCTGTAATAAAAATCTGTTCTGGAAACTTCTGAATGCTACATATTCATATATTATGAATACATGTTCTGAATGCTATTGTTTTAAAAATTAATCTTATTTTGTTTCTGTAATAGGATTAAAAAACTTGATAAATTCCAATTAATTATCATAGAAGAGCTGGAGAATTTTGAAAAAGATTCACAGTCTTTAAAAGATTTGGAAAAGGAATTTGTGGTTTGTTACTTTTAAAATTTTTAAAATAAGTTTAAAACCTTGTTTTTAAAGAGCTATGCTTGGAAAAACTTCACTTTCTTTTCTGAGAGCACATCCTGAAGCTTTTTGTTATTTAGAACATAATTTAGTTTTATCTTAGATTTCTAGTCAGCTTCATATAAAACTTTTGAATTATAAACTTATGTTTACGATGAAATCTTTGATGATAAATATGAAGTCCTGAGAGATTTCACTTTCAATTTTATTTTAATCTGAAAGAGCGTGTGACATCTGGAATATTCTTAACATATAGCCACTTTTTTTTACATTTGTAATAATAGAAATAGAGTAATTCTACTTTGGATTTTAATTTTTAATCATATTAAAGTTTAACTGGATTTTGTACCTTACAATTTAGGACTTTTGGGAAAAGATATTTCAGAAGTTCAGTGCATATCAAAAAAGTGAACAACAGAGGTTAGTATGACAGTCTTAATGACTATAATCTATACAATTATATTTATAAATTAATAAATTTCTATTTGAAAAATTAAAATTATACTATGTTGTAGCAATTTAATTTGAATTATTGATAAATACAAAGTTAACTCTCATTATTTTACTTGTTAGGCTTCATCTTTTGCAAACTTCATTGGCTAAAAGTGTCTTCTGTAATACTGATAATGAAGAAACTATTTTTACATCTGAGGTATAAATTTTATGATTTTTATAGGTAACCTTTCTTGATTACAAAAAAGATTGGTTAATCTAACTTTCTTTGCCATGAAAACTTTGTGATAAATTTCATGGGGAAATGTATTTACTTTTTTACAGATGTGTTTGATGAAAGAAGACATGAAAGTCCTACAAGACAGGCTTCTTAGGGACATGGTAAGTCAACTAAGTTTGAAAATGGATTAAACATACTTTAATGTCTTTTGTTTTTGATTTGTGTGTGTGTGCGCTTTTATGTCTTGTAATAAGCTATTCTTGCACAGAGCTTCTTTTTCTTTTTTGGTTGAGAGAAGATAGTTTTAACCCAATTACTTTTAGTTCTTTAAATAATGGGAGCATATTTATGTTGAAAGGATAGGAGTAATTTAAATAGCGAGGTCATCCTACAGAGTAAAAGAGAATATCAATTTACAGATTGAAAAATTAGCTGAAAGAATGATTTGCTTGCAGTGTTTCTAAACACTATGTACTGCAACAGACCTCTGTCCTGCTCTGCCTTCTGGAGGAGAAGATATGGCAGAACAAAACTCCCAGAAAGTCTGTAGTTTAGTGGAAGAATTACTGTCTGTTTGGACAAGATGTCATTTACTTAGATTTGGGGATAAAATTAATTTACTTTCCAATGGCCTAGTAGACCAGCAGCTGCATTCGGCGGTGGGGGGGGGGCTGGAAATGCAGACCTGGAAAGGAACTAAAGGTACTGCTTTAAGTGATAATGTCTTTGGAGTTTTCTTAAAGATGAAAGGCATTTTTAAGTATACTGATCTTTGTATACACAGTACATTAATGTACTTACAAAGTTTTAATAGAACTTCAATATGCTGACATAGTACAGGATTAAGATGTGGCTAAGGTAGTTTAGTTTCAAGCAAACAAGAAGCTACTTAACTAGGTTGATCCTTGTTGAAATTGTTTTCTAGACTTTTTATTTTGCTCTCTTCCTTTAAAAATTAAATCTGAATTTCATTGATTTGGGGATTTAAAATATTAGAGCCTTCTCTAATCTTTTTAGATCACAGAATTCTGTAGATATGTAGATATAGACCTGGTAGAATGCAATATCTTCATGAAAGAGTTGTTTTAAAATGAATCACTAATAATAGCTTGATATTTTTCCTATTTTATTTGATGGTTTTCCATCAATAATGTGAAATCTAAGTGTGATTTTTGTTTTCTTGGCCATAGCTAGAAGAGGAGCTTCTTAATGTACGCAGAGAACTCATGTCAGTATTCATGGCTCATGAAAGAAATCTTAATATGTGAAATCTAGTTTTTATCAACATACTTTATCTAATTATTGTTTGTGTATAACTGAGGAAATAACAGAGTAGTTCTACAATGAGAAAAATGTACATGTCACCCAGGCAACCCTTTGCAGGAATCCTCAAATTAAAAAAAAAAAAAAAGTATTTTAATGAATAAGAAAGAACTACTATAACGTGACTCCAAGCCCAGACTTTTGTCTACAGAATATTATTTTTTAGTTTTGGAGATAAAAGCTTTAAGAAACTTTTCGAGTTAATTATATTTGTAAAATGAGTTTCTTTACTAAATTTGTGTAAAATGTATTATTTTATTACATAAAATGTGTTTTTGAATCAATGCAGTTTTGGGATGAATATATGTTATTAAAATATGTTTAATAGCTTAGAATTCAAGTAATAAAAATTTAGCCACACTTACAAAGGGGAGGAAGTCCCTAATTTAAAATGTTTAACTGAGTGGTAGATCAGAACTTTCAGCACACTGTTGGAAACATTTATTCAATTACGGCTGTAACGTATTAGGAGACACTAAATGGCCTAAAATAGCTACTACATTCCTTACATATGTTAATTCAATATAAAAGTCTTACTTCATAAGCAGGCTGTTTGACAAATACTTTTAATCTACTAGTAGTCATTGTAGTATCTTGCTAGATTAATTTATAAAAATGAGTATACATTTGATTTGCTTTTAATGAAGTTGAAATAAATGCCTATGTTACTTGAATAAGTATAAACATTATATTCTTATTTTGTGAACATTGGGTATTTGAAGAAGGGTATTTTCTTCATCCAAAGTGTAATACTAAGTAGCCTTACTATTTCTTGTCTATCAATGGTAGCAGAGTATTATTCAAAAATAATGCCAGTAATTAAACACAGTGGGAAAAGTGGCTTCTTAGTCAAGATAAGCAAAAGAAAACCCCTTTCAACTTAGTCAGCTTTATGCAGTTATTAGCACCAGCTAATATTTATTGATAGGGCAGTGGGGTTGCTATTTTAAGAGAGAGTGACAGCTATTGTAATATTAAATATCACTCAGGACTTGCAAATCCATGTTGCCCTGTGAGACTAATTCCATCATGTCTTACCACCCTGTTTACCTCATTGTCAGCCAAATTTACAAGACTCCCAAATTACACATACTTATTTTAATACTGTACTGTATGTGTAATCCGTCCCAGGTTCTTTATTCTTCGCAGCTCTTCTAAAGTCTTGTCATTACAAGTAGTTGTGTCCCTCTAAATCTCAATTTCCAACATCCTTATCACCTTAGCCTGTCTTGCCAACTTGCCTTGTATAGCAGTCTCAGGCCATTTATGCTTTTTCTATATGCCTGTTATCTTCTTGTCTGTCCTTCCTTCCTTACCCATTCCAGATGTGATAGTTAAAAATAATACTCTCTTGCCCTTTCTCCTCCTGTCAACTTTATCCACTAATTCTTAGCTCTCACGCTACCAACTGAACAGTACAGGAGAAAATAATGCAATCAGGCTTTAAATTTATGGCCATGTACTTCAAATGGGACCTCAACATTGCTCAACAATCCTTACCCTGCTCTCTTTAATTGGCTTTACCACATTTACAGAATATTATTGCATATAAATACCTCTTTCCTTAATTCTTTATCTTTGAGCTGATTAGCTGACCTCATAATTTTCTCATCTTCACCCTAAAATCTGTTTCCTGCATCAATACCAGCATTTTCTGATATCTCTTTCAGCCCAATAGCAGATTTGTTTAAGAACAATCACCTTATTAGTGCTTTAAATCTCATTATCTTTGATTTTCCTCTCCTGATTTTTATAGTCCATTTTAATTAAATAACTAACTAAATAAGACCCTCCATTGACATCAAGTTCTCCTGAAACCACTGATGTATCCAGGTAATTCTCTATTCACTTTTCTAGTGAACATAGCAGAATACTCTTCTCAGGTTACTATCTCAACCTCTTTGCTTCCTTTCCTCAATGTAGCTCTGCCCCTACTATTTCATCAAAACTACTTTTATCAAAATCAACAGTCATTTATGTTGCCAAATCTAATCTCTTTTTACTTAGCCTCCCAGTGGCATTTCACATTTAAAACCCTCAGCTGGCATGTATTTGCTACTCTTCTGTGTCCTTTCCCTTGCTTCCTTCTTACTATTTAATGTGGGGTTCATTCCTAGTCTCTTTCTTTTCCTTAGTCAGAACTTAAGTAATTTCATCTAGTCCCTTATAATAACTGTGTTGATGATCTCAAATTTATAAAAGTTCTGACCTTTACTTTGGACATCAGAACATTATAAATACTGCTTTATTGAGACTTCTAATAAGAATCTCAACTCTCAAAACAACTTGATTTGTCTCCCTTGCCATTTTTTCTCTTCATCAAAGAAAAAATAAACTGTTTTCCTGTCTCAATAAAGTTATTTTTTAATTTTAATTTTTTATACTTTAAGTTCTGGGATACATGTGCAGAACGTGCAGGTTTGTTACATAGATATACATGTGCCAAGGTAGTTTGCTGTACCAATCAACCAATCATTGACATTAGGTATTTCTCCTAATGCTATCCCTCCCCTACCCCACCCACAGACAGGCCCTGGTTTGTGGTGTTCCCCTCCCTTTGTCCATGTGTTCTCATTGTTCAGTTCTCACTTAAGAGTGAGAACATGTGGTGTTTGGTTTTCTGTTCCTGTGTTAGTTTGCTGAGAATGATGGTTTCCAGCTTCATCCATGTCCCTGCAAAGGAAATGAATTCATCTTTTTTTTATGGCTGCATAGTATTCCATGGTGTATATGTGCCACATTTTCTTTATCCGGTCTATCACTGATGGGCATTTGGGTTGGTTCCAATTCTTTGCTATTGTGAACCGCGCTGCAATAAACATACATGTGCATGTGTCTTTATGGTAGAATGATTTATAGTCCTTTGGATATATACCCAGTAATGGAATTGCTGGGTCAAATGGAATTTCTATTTCTAGATCCTTGCAGAGTCACCACACTGTCTCCCACAATGGTTGAACTAATTTACACTCCCACCAACAGTGTAAAAGTGTCCCTATTTCTCCACATCCTCTCTAGCATCTCTTGTTTCCTGACTTTTTAATGATAGCCATTCTAACTGGTGTGAGATGGTATCTCAATGTGGTTTTGATTTGCATTTCTCTAATGACCAGTGATGATGAGCTTTTCTTCATGTTTGTTGGCTGCATAAATGTCTTCTTTTGAGGTGTCTGTTCGTATCCTTTGCCCACTTTTTGATGAGGTTTTTTCTTGTAAATTTAAATTATTTGTAGATTCTGGATATTAGCCCTTTGTCAGATGGATAGATTGCAAAAATTTTCTCCCATTCTGTAGGTTGCCAGTTCACTCTGATGATAGTTTCTTTTGCTGTGCAGGAACTCTTTAGTTTAATTAGGTCCCATTTGTATATTTTGCCTTCTTTTGCCATTGCTTTTGGTGTTTTAGTCATGAAGTCTTTGCCCATGCCTATGTCCTGTAGGGCATTGCCTAGGTTTTCTCCTAAGGTTTTTATGGTTTTAGGTCTTATGTTTAAGCCTTTAATCCATTTGAGTTAATTTCTGTGTAAGGATAAAGTTACTTTTATCTACTCAACTATTTAAGCCAAAACCTAATGGTAATTTCCAATTTCTTTTTTTTTTTTAGTCAGTAAATTGATCAACAATTCCTTCATTTCTCACATAGACATTTCCAACAGCCTCTTAAATGGCTTTTCAGCATTTATACTTTCCTTTCCACACTTTTTTCACTTAGCAGCCAACATTGTCTTGCTAAAGCATAAATCATACCATGTCACTCCCTTACCTAAAACTCTCCAGTGACACACACTCTTAACCAGCGGGTCAAGGGAGAATTCATAAAAGAAGTTGGAAAATACTTTGACAAATGAAAATGCAACATACCTAAACATGTGATCTGTTGAAAGCAGTGCTCAGAGGGATCTTTATAGCTGTAAGCACCTACATTAAATGGGAAGAAAAGTATCAAATCAATAACCTTACTTTATACCTTAAATAACTAGAAAAGTAAATTTAAAGCTGTCAGAATCAAAATAATGAAGACTAGATCAGAGATAAACAGAATAGAAAAGTACAGAAAACCAATAAAAAATCAATAAAAACAAAATTTGGTCCTCTGAAAAGATCAAGAAAACAAACCGTTAGCAGACTGACTAAGATAAACAGAAGACTCAAATTAATATGAGAAATGAAAGTTGGGGACATGACTACTAAGCTTTCAGAAGTAGAAAGGATTCTAGGAGAATACTATGAATAATTATATGCCAACAAATTAGTTAACCTAGATGACATTGATAAATTCCTAAAAGCACAAGCTACCAACAGGGACTCAAGAAGAAATAAAAAATATAAAACAGACCTATAACATGTAAAGAGGTTGAATTTTGAAAACCTCCCAACATTGAATTCTATCATTTAAAGAATGATAGAATTAGTTTTTTTTGTTGTTGTTTTTTTTTTGTTGTTGTTTTGTTTTAAGAGACAGGATCTCACTCTGTCACCCAAGCTGTATGATCTTAGCTCACTGTAACCTCAACCTCCTAGGCTCAAGTGATCTTCCTGCCTCAGCCTCCTGATTAAGCTAGGACTCTAGGCATATGCCACTGTGCTCAGCTACTTAATATTTTGTAGAGAATGAGGTTCTTGTGTGTATTCCATGCTGGTCTTGAACTCCTGGTCTCAAGCAGTTCTCTTGACTTGGCTTCCCAAAGCACTGGAATTATAGGCATGAGTCACCATGCCCAGCCCAATCCTTCTTAATATGGCAGTTTTAGGTAGGAATTTACTAAGTTCAAAGAGAGCTAATGTGTCTCCTAAAATTTGCAAGTCCTATATGGTGTCAGCATTTTCATTGTAATTGATAAGGAAGTATTAACCAATCATTTGAACATCTATTATATGATATGCACTGAGCTCAGGTCTAAATACAGAAATGAGTATAAATGAACCCTTCCATGGTGCTACAGCTCTTTTAGAATATGTCTAGCAAGTTTTTCAGTTTTCACCAGAACGCCCACCTCAAAACAGAGATGAACTCCCTACTTATGTGCTTTAAAATGAGGATATATGTGCTTTTAAAGTCATGCAGAATCATACGGATTTCCATTTCATTGAACCCTTGGAGTAATTGTATAGGCAAATCAAATGTACATAGACTTATTTGTTAAGACAATGTATTTGTAATGGTTAGCTTTTGTTTTTCTATTTAAAATAAATGGCCATGAAAATATTCTGAATTAACATCTACAGGAGAACAACGTTTTATTTAGGGATATGGATGTGTTGAGTGAGATCAATATGTTGTACCATCTTGAACTTTAGATAATATACTTTTAGCTTATGCTGTGATAGCAACAAGTTTAAAAGGAACTTGGAAGAATAGAAGTCACACTCATGAAACACTTGCCTTTAATAATACTGATAAAGCTTGATTGTTTACCTAATTTGATGTACGTTTTGTACAAGTCAGATGCAAAGACAATTGGGTTTATAATGAGTGTTGAAATTTGGAATAGATTTGAAGTTAAAAGATTTTAACCTTGTTTAAAAACATAATTTAGCTGTTTGACTTCTATGTAACTCATTTCTAAGATGTTCTAGTATGTTTAAATTTTTTAAGTTCAGAGCAGGATCCAGCAAAGTTTGTCCTGAAAGGCTATACAGTAAATGTTTTCGGCTTTGTGGGCCAGAAGGCAAATTTCAGAATATCATGTCAGTCCATATTATAATCATTTTAATTGTAACTATTTAAATATATAAAAACCATTCTTAGCTTACTGGCCACTAAAAAAAAGGGGCTGGGGACTGGCTAGATTTTGTCTGTGGGCTGTAGTTTACAGACTTCAAGTTCAGAAAGGAAATCTTATAGATCAGAACTCTGTTCTGTATTATTACATTTTTCCTTAGTTTATCTATGTCACAGAAATAGTTATTTAAATCAATTTTGCATAGCAGAGGCTGAGTATATTAATTAATATAGCTAAAATTCTTGATCTATTTTAAACATATTAAAAGTAAATGATCATTGTAGCTAATGACTTAAATTTCTTACCTGGATTGTAATCTAACACCCTGGTGTAGGTTTACCATGTGTCCTCAACCAAATACAGCTTGTAAGGTGGTAACTGTCCAGAAGTACACATGGAAAAGGACATGGAAGAGAAGAAATTTTACATTAGTATAGCTAGGCAGAAACCTAAATACTAAACTCTACAGCCACTACTATAGTGATCTTATTGCCACCAAATCATAGTATTATGGATAGCCAACACAAACTTAAAAGGCCAGCATATCTTTTAAATGAATAACGGATTGAGTAGTCTTCATGTAGCATTTAATTCCACATGAAATTTGTATTTTACAGTGACAAATTCTGCCAACTCTGAGCTCAGTTCCTAGTGTGGCGCTTCACAGTTGCTGGAGTTAGTTCTTTAGCCATTCTGTCATCATCACCTATTAACAGTTAAACCAGATACAGTTAGTGTATAAGTTTCTTATCTACTTAAAACTTAAGAGTAAGTATGGAAGGAATCATATATGCTATGAATAAGTAAGTTGAATTTTGAGCAAAGTAAAATACTAGCAAATAATATCAACAAACAAATCTAATTTGGAATGTAAAAACTGAAGCAAGATGATAGGTGGTTCCAGAGATTGTGTTTTCTGCCACATCAGGTGTCACCATTATAATTATTAAGAAGCAGGCTAGCTGGAAAGCAGGGAATGGACTAGTGGTATAGACCAGTCTTTCAGGGAACACACCCGAATTGTAGTAATATATTCAGTGTATGTATTTTTGAGAAGGGATAATAAACTGCCATTAGAAGGGAATATACATATATAACATGTTTGCAACTTGAAACATTAAATTGTTGCCATATATACCATATATACAGATTTCTTTCTTCCCATTGCTTATCAAGAAAATTGAATTTTTAGAATTTCCCCATTTATAGTTGAGATTAGAAACTTTGAAAAGGATTTTTTAAAAATTTTTATTACTTTAAAAATACTTCTCTGTTTTCATAGAACTATGAAACTGCTAACCGGTACTTTCTCCATTGTTCATTCTAACATTTTTTGTTTGAATATGAACTAGTGGTATGTTCCTGGTATCATCACTGTAAATAAATTTGCAGAGAAATAAGCAAATGGAATTTATAGGAATCTACTTTTTGAAAATATTTTTCATATATTCAGTTTCATATGTTCATTTGCTTATGAATATCTTCTGAGGTGTTTTCATATGAAAAATGGAGAAAAAGGTCTCTGAAAAAAACTAGACAAATTGGTATTGGAAGCATATAGTAATAGTAGTTTTCATAGTACAGCTAGGATTTTGCATTTCTGAGCTTGAATTTGTTGTTGAAGGACTAGAGATACATAGCTAAAAACAAACTTTGCGTTTACTTCCAATGTATAATAAATTTAGGCCTGTAATTACCATATCTTTCCACAAGGTGGATGTCTTGATGTTATATTCTTCCCCCACAATCCCCTGCCATTTCAATTGTCAAAAAATTACTTAGGTGATGTGATTTCAAAGTCTCTTTAAATTTATTTTTACTTTTATATTTTTTTGAGACACGGTCTTTCTCTGTTAAGTTGGAATGCAGTGCAGTCACAGCTCACTACAGCCTTAACCTTCTGGGCTCAGGTGATCCTGCCACCTCAGCCTCCCTAGTAGCTGGGACTACCGGTGCATACTACCACACCGAGCTAATTTTTTGTCTGTTTTGTAGAGAAGGGTTTTGCTATGTTGCCCAGGCTGGTCTTGAACTCCTGGACTCAAGCGATCCACTCACCTCGGTCTCCCAAAGTGCTAGGATTACAGGCCTGAGCCACCATGACCAGCCCCCTTTAAATTCTTTTAGATATACTTTTTACAAAGTCATATAATGTAGTATTTCCTTTATTACATTAGCTTAAAAAAGTTAATGGATGTGTCTAGAAAATAATCTCCTCTCACAAAATTACCGACAAGCTTGTAAAAATGTTTTGAACTCCTTAAAAACAGAACTTATGATTTAAATATTCATGGTTGCTTTAATATTTTTTTCTGAAAATAGAAGCAAATGATTTGTAAATTTATTGTATAAAAACTTCGTTATTGAATACTAGTAATGAAGAATTCTGATAATTCATATATAGTTGGTTATTTAATAAGACATGTTTTTTTTTAAATCTGTAGGCTAAGTATATAAACTTTCTCTTCAATTATAAACATATGCAAATACATGTACATATACATATATATGATCAGTGCCATATGATTTGTGAATTGTTTTTTAATTTTGTTCCTCCAACTAACTTGAGAGAGAGTTGAGTTGTGATGTGGGTGGAGAGTAAATATACTTAATTCACAGTTTTAGTTTATCTCTTAACCCTTATAATGTCTGATAAAAACATCAAATGCCTAAGTACAGTTTAGAGTAATAGTCTGTGCATAATATAAACACAGTGGTAGAAGTTAGATACTATTGCCACACATTTAGATTAAAAGGAAAGTGTCTGCTGGTTTTAGGATATCTTAGAACCTTTGAGTCTGAACCAGTCCAAACCCTCCTTTGGTTATTCTGCACTTTTACTTTTTCAGTTTTATTATCCGCTAGTTATGGGACCTGGGCAAAAAACTAATTATGTGTCCCATTTAACCTGGTCATTGTTAACCATAGGCGCTGCCTGGTTCTTTTGTAAGCAGTACTAATCTTTTGTACTTTGGGGGCCAGGGTGATTTCTAAACAGTAGCACCTTTTCCCTTTCTTTGTTTCATAGTAAGCATATTAATATTTCTATGTGAGGGAAATTGAAATCTTAGTTTAACATAATTTGGGCTCCCATTAATATTTTAAATTGAATATAAAATAGGAGGACCTTCTAATATATAGCTTAAAGTAGAAAGGTAAAGTTTTTTGGTAGTTGGTTGGCTACAAATAATGGGTTATGAATAACAGAAAATATATAATGTATGTATGTACATATTTTAAATCATTTAAATTTAACTGACTTCTAATTTAAAAGGATTTAGATACATTTCACAGACAAATTGAGACTCAGTGAAGTCAACTGACTCATAGAAGTTACAGAGCAACTAAGAGGTAGAGCTGGAATTTTTCTACCATAACAATAATATTTAAAAAAAAAAACCTATAATTCAACTAATAGTGTGTTTTGCTAGTCTCTAGGACCCCTCATAAGTCACTTTGGACAAAGTACTACTACCATAAAGACTAAACAGTTTCTATGGGCATCTGACCCAGTAGCAGTCTTAAAGAAGTAGAGAAGGAAAGATAGTGGAAAGCAGTGAGGTAGCATATGTGGTAAGAAGTCATAGAGGACACTCAGTTGCTTCAGGTGCTACCTGGCAGCCATACCAGTAGCTAACATTTATTGGATTCCCAGAATGTCCCGAGCACTGTGCCAGCACTTTAGCTTCTTTATCTTATTTAGATAATACAGCAATGTTGTGTGAGAGAGATACGATTATCCTGTAGAGAAAATAAGTTGCTTAAGTAGCCCAGAGCTTGGGTTTGTGCACAAGTTCTGCAAACTCTGAAAGTCATGTTCCAAGTTACTATGCTTCCTGTCTCGCCTCACCAGTGTACCAGGAGGGAAGGCTCATCTTGGTAAGGACACTTATTTGAAAACCAATTAAAAATATTTTTCAGGGAACATTTATTGTTATTTAGCTTGTTTCCCCCTTTGTGCCAAGATTTGCACCTTTGTGCTGGGGTAAATTTCCTTTCTTTATAATGTCTACTTCATCTAAAACTTGATCTCTTTTAACAATGTTTTTAACAATGTTTGCAGAGGCGAGCTTAAAAATACTCTTAAAGGGGGCATACTTTTCATTTCGATAGAATTTTTCAACAAATTATTGCTTATTTCTTAGTTAAATGCACTCTTCAATACGCACTGATACATAAATTTAACTTGAAAAAGATAATTTGATTTTTTAAGGCACAAACCACATACATAAACAAAATTTACAAAACATGTAGAAAGCTGGAATTCTCATTCATGTGTTTGGATTCTGATGGTTCAAAAGTAAAAGCTGACTTGTTTCACAGATCCCCGTTCTAAAGTACCACTCATCCCAACCCCAAGAAAATGTAAAGCCTGGATTAATTTCCTGCAATAAGTAGTCATTTAATTAAAGACCAAAATTAACAGGAATCAAAATGTTGCAGCTGTATATTTTGTTAGACATTATATAAAAAAGGAAAAGTATAATACAGTAAATCATTTTGTATAACATGAAATTAGAGTTTTCAAATTAATTGTGATCAGGATAAAAATGTCTTTTTTGAACACAATACTGAATGACACTGTCACATGTCCCTCATGTCAGAGGCCTGGGCGTGGTGAGCCTGCACATGCACGTTGCCCGTCCTCCATTACACCGCAGAACTGTAAAACAAGGTTGAAAGGCAAACAACAGTTTTCTTCTGATAGAGTTATGTTGGGTCTTAACTGACCCCAACAGTTCACACTCCTCAGACACCAAAGAAGGAAGGAAGTGTGTCCTCTGGTTACTCCTCTTGCAGGTAAGTGTGGCCAAGATTGCACCTGTGTGTGTGATCCTGCTCTTCTCACAAACACAGCAGGTAGTCTTGAGCTGAACTTCAGGAAAGTTCCCTGATGAATGTTCAGTGTTGGTATCAAAAAATTAAACACAAATTCTTCTCAGAAGAAAATCTCTATGGCCTATGGAATCTAGAGATTATAAAAAAGAAAGAATTTAAGGTTATATATTTCTAACAGTTAAAATAATAGCCAAAAACCTCCTACAAATAAATTTGCTGCTATTAAAAAGCTTCTCAGAAGTCCCATATGTAAAACATGAGGATGGAGCTACTTTGGTTAAAATAGGGTAGAGTCTCAGAGGGCTACCCACTCGTAGGCCCCATTATACCCCAAAACAACATATTCTTAGGACTACCTAGAACTTAGTTTGAAAACTGTTGGTTAAACCCTTGAAGTACACAGAAACGCCAGGGCTTTGCTAAATCAGTAGAAATAATGAATTTGTTAATAAATTATTGGAAATTATAGTAGAGTTATGGCTTTTTGTAGAGTAATATATTCATAATTTTAATACATGTAAGAAAAATCATAAAACTGTTCTGACTCAAATTGACATGAAGAAAGTGATAAAATGTAGTATAAAGATCTTATAATTATGTTCAAGTATTAAAGTCATTCTTTAAAATTTTGTCACTTAAGAAAGCTATCAACTTAGGACAGAAGATAATCATCCTTAGTAAACATTTATTTTAATAATGTATAATGGGAAAATGTATGAAATTGAAATTACAATATATAGACTATGTAGTCATCATATTATTTAAGCCAGAATAAATATTAAAAGTAATTGTGCATGATTTACATTCATATGACCCATTCAAAACAAAAAAATAAAATTGCCTATTCCTCCCAAAAAGTATGTTAGTCATGAGTGGGAACCTTAAAAAAAATTTGCATAATTGTCTCCTATTCATCCAACTTTCCCTTCCTCCTTGATATATTCACCCTAAAACCATTGGTTAAGATGGAATTCCATTGTACTTAGTTTCTGTTCTATAGCCATATTAAGCTTACAGAGTAAATATTTCTAATAACAATTGTAATGGCCACTTTGTAACAAACAGAAAACTATTATTTTGGTTTAAGGCAGTATCTGTATGCATGATTTCCTTTCTCTTTGTATGTGGGCCTTGAGCATGTTCAGATAAAAGGAGAGAAGACAAAGCAACTGATACAGTTGAAAGCTTGTTGTGCCAGAGTCATCCGCTTTAGAACGAGACATGTTTGAGAACTTCACATAATTACTACTGGTCATGGCCCTGGAAAAGAAGTGGGGGAAATACTGAAAGAATATGCAGTTCAATAAGTAAAGAGAGCCAAATCCTTTCCCAACTTTGTTATCACCAAGAAGCCAAGTGTCATCCCTTGCATATGGTAGCATAGACAGAGAATATATTCATCTTAATGGGAAAAGTCTTGATTATGGAAGAATCAGCCAATATATTCCCAATAGAATATAAACTCCATGACGATGGGAGTCTCCTTTATCCTATTCACTATTGCATTCTCAACACATACTCAAATATTTGCTGAGGAAACAAATACTCAGCTTTAGGAGAACACTGTGCTAAAGATGTGACTAATGATTTAAGATAAGAGAAAGTAAATGTGAAGGTGGGCAGTGACTAATTTCACAGCAATCTATAGGTAGGTGAGTTCTAAAAGTTGGAGGAATTCTGAATATTAAAGGGGAATTAAATACATAGAAAAATTACTTTCATTGCTTTGAGGCTTATTTTGTTAAATATGCATTAACTGCTTAAATAAACCACTAGTGTTACCATACATACCACTTTTCACCAAGTGCTGTAAGAAATAATGGGAACTAGCAGCATTTTTAGTTGAGGTACATTATGTTTGTTCAATACCATTCTTTGGAGAAATGCTGAATTTGTTTAGCCGGATACATAGTTTCTGGGGTGTGTGTTTCAAAAATATTGTTAAGTACCATGAAATTCATACAAAATCTGACCTTGTCAAGTGCTTGCTTGATGCATGTACCTCCATTTCATTACTTTTGTACTCATTTAATTCTTTACGAATTGCTGCCTAAAATGTAAAAACAAGACATTGCTTTTCAGGATATTAAAAAATCAACAGGAAAATAGCATCATGTTTACAAATCAACCATTCCTAATACTTGACTCTATTATTATGTAATATACAGAAAAAAAAAACTTTTGGTTCAGCATTAAGACTGCCATACTCATTTTTATAGTCCTACCCAGCTAGTATGTAGCTAATATTCTGGAAGTCTTTGTAAAAAATTTTATTGATACATAATATTTGTACATGTATACAGAGTACATGTGATATTTTGTTATGTGCATAGACTGTGATGATCAAGTATTCAGGATGTATTTATCATTTCTCAAGTATTTATCATTTCTATGTGTTGGGAACATTTCAAGTCCTGTCTTCTAGCTGTTTTGGATTATACACAACATTGTTAACAACAGTCACCCCACTCTGCTACAGAACATTAGAACTTATTCCTTCTACCTAACCGTATGTTACTACCCATTAACCAACCTCTCTTTGTCTCCCCAAACCCTGCCACCCTTCCCAGCCTTTGGTATCTATCATTCTACTGTCTACCTCCATGACATCAACTTTTTTGATCCCACGTGAATGAGAACATGTGATATTTATTTTTCTGTGCCTGGTTTATTTCATTTAACATGCTAACATTCAATTCTGTACATTGTCAAAAATGATTTTCTTAAGGTGGAATATTTCATTTTGTGTGTGTATATACACACGTTTACATATATGTGTGTGTGTATACACACACACATACACACACACACACACACTACATTTTCTTTACCCATCTATCGGATACTTAGATGATTTTGTATCTTGGCTGTTGTTAATACTGCCGCAGTGAACAGGGGAGTGTAGATGTCTCTTCAATGTACTGATTTGATTTCCTTTGGATATATACCCAGATATGGCATTTTTGAATCATATAGTTTTAAAAAATATTTGGAGGAGTCTTCATACTGTTTTCCATAATGGCTGCATTAATTTACACTCCCATCAACAGTATATAAAAGCTGACTTTTCTCCTAATCCTTTCCAGCATGGTTTTATCTTTCTAATAACAACTATTCTAACTGGAATAAGATATCTCATTGTGGTTTTGATTTGCATTTCCCTGTTGATTAATGATGTTGAGCATTTTTCATATACTTGTTGGTGATTTATATGTCTTCTTTTGAGAAATACCTATTCATGTCCTTTGTCCACTTTCTAATGGGATTTGTTTATTTACTGTTACTTGAGTTCCTTGTATGTTCTGGATATTAGTCCCTTGTTGGATGAATAGTCTGTAGATATTAATATTTTGTCCTATTCCCTGTTGTCTCTTTACTCTGATTTTGTTGTTGTTGTTGTGAAGAAGCTTTATAGTTTAATATAGTCTCATTTGTTTTTGCTATCTTCTGAGGTCTTAGCCATAAAATGTTTGCCCAGACTAATGATGTCCTAGAGTGTTTCTTCTCTGTTTACTTTTAGTGGTTTTATAGTTTTGGGTCTTACATTTCATTCTTTATTCTTCAAGTTGATTTTTGTATATGGTAAGAAATAGCCCAGTTTCATTCTTTTGCCATATGGATATCCAATTTTCCTAGCATCATTTATTGAAGCGTGTCCTTCCCCCAGTTTATGTTCTTGGCACCTTTGTCAAAAATCAGTTGGCTGTGAATATGTGAATTTTTTTTCTGGGTCTCCTATTCTGTTCCATTGGTCTGTGTGTCTTTTATGCCAATATTATGCTGGTAGTATAGCCTTATATTTTAAAGTTAGTGTGATGCCTCCAACTTTGTTCTTTTTGCCAAGCATTGGTTTGGCTATTCAAGTTCTTTTTTGGTTTCACATGAATTTTAGGATTGCTTTTTCTATTTCTGTGAAAAATGATACCGGTATTTTGATAGGGATTTCACTGGATCTGTAGATTGCTTTGGGCAGTATGGTCATTTTAGTGGTATTAGTTCTTTCTATCCATGAGCATGAGATATCTTTGTTTGTGGCCTCTTCAATTTCTTTCATCATTGTTTCGTAGTTTTCCTTGCAGAAGTCTTTCACCTCCTCGGTTAAATCCATTTCCAGGATTTTTGGTACCTATTTTAAATAAGATTGCCTACTTGATTTCTTTCTCAGCCAGTCCATTATTAGTTTATAGAGATGCTACTAATTTTTGTATGATTTTGTATCCTACAACTTTAGTGAATTTATCAGATCTAAGTTTTTTTGGTGGAGTCTTTAGGTTTCTCTAGGAATATGATCGAATTGTCTGTAAAGAGGGATAACTTGACTTCCTCTTTTCCAGTTTGGATGCCTTTTCTTTCTGTTGCTCCATTGCTCTGGCTAGGGCTAGTATTATGTATATCTTTCATGAATTCATTTGCTGGACTGTAGTGGGAAGACAACCCTCCCCCAACCCACCCACTCCATAACTAAACAGACCAAGCCCATGGTTAGGGTATTAATGAAGCAGGAACACCAAGATGAGTAAACTTCAGCTTCTGGTGAACTTGGAGTTTTAAAATCAGCGATAATCTAGAAAGAAGTCATTCTGACTTCGGCATACATTAATATTTTTAATTCCCCAGGCCCACTTTATCATGTACTTCTTTCTCAGATAAACACTCGTGGGACCTGATGAGACTAAAACATCAAACATAGCCTGTAGGACAAGGAAAGTCTTTAGGGATATATTATTCTCATGCTCAAACACATCTGCAGACTACCAAAGATACTTTTTTTTCTCCCCTTATCATTGTGATCCTGAGCACATCACTCAAAAATAACCAGGCAAGTTAGTCTAACATGTTTGCATTTCTTCAAGTTGATGCAATATCTATGTATATTTATAAGCTCATATACTCAGCATATGAAGAATGAAGAACAATTAGCTAATTCCTTGGCTGAATGTGTAATTTTTCTCTTCCTAAAGGCTTTATGTCTTCTGAAAATCACTAGAAGTAAGAAGGTGTGATAGAACCTATAGACACTCTTGGGCTTAAATCCTGCCAATCAATACTGTTTGATCACAGACAAGAACTTACCCTCTCTATGCTCAGCAAATGTCATACCTTCTATTTTAGTGCAGAGCCTCTATGACCTACTGCCTCCTTGTGTTCTTCCTGCCTCTCTAACTGTTCAGTTCAGACTCATCAGGAGGTTCTCAGAGATATCTCTAACTGTGCAAGTCCAGGAGAGAGTCTAGAACCTCTTCTATACTGTAGAGGCTTTCTTGAATGCATCTTTGTCCCCCACTGTTGCTCGTTTTGTTTAAACTTGCCAGTTGATCTCTTTTATGACAGCCTTGCCCACCTTTGATTTATGCCTCATATCATGGTTTCTCAATTTCCACAGTTTTGACATTTGGGACTAGATAATCCTTTGTTGAAGGGGCTGTTATGTGCATTTTGAGATGCTTAGCAGCATCCCTGGCCTCTGCCAGTAACACCCCCAGTTGTGACAATCAAAAATGTCTCTAGACATTGCCAAATGTCCCTAGTGGCAAAACTGTCTTCTAGCTGAGAGCCCCTGCTCAATCTGACCCTGAATTATCTTTGTGAAACCAATATTTATTGCAGGTATACTCTTAAATAGTTGAAGGCTCCCTTTGTCTAAGAATAAACTCCTTGGCATGACATATTTTCCCCTTATAATAACATACAACAACCCCCACCAGCAGAGACAGTTCTGTACCTTATCTGCTGCTGACAGTCTTGTCCAGGGTTTGTCTGCCCTCCTGTCATAGTCCTGCGCTTTTGCTACTTCCACGTAATCACTGAATCGTATCAGAATTTTTCTGTCTCTTAATTCATCAACGGTGGGTCTCTGATTAAGCTAAAATAAAAGATTATCATAGTTAAGTATCACACGCCAAACTAGATTTTTTGAAGTACTCTGAACAAACAACAGCTTTCTAAAAAACATAAAACTCTGCAACTGTGAAATGTCACCTGAATACCAGCAATCTCTAATGTGAAGGGCTTAAATTATATACTGTACTCTTGAGTCAAAGAATGTGACTTAAAATATGTAAAATATGTTCCTCTAACATTTTATCAAAAGGAGTCACACCCCCAATAGTACATAGCACCTGCTCAAGGAATGGTTCGTGAATTAACTTAGATTTTATGGCATCAATGGCTTCAGGTACAATTAGATACATTTTTCTGAGGTACTAATAAAATTATTATATGTCAAGATCAGGAGTGATATTCTGTTAATTTCAAGAGAATTATTATGGAGCAACACAACGAAGAAGGTGAAACCAGAACACTTGAATTTAGAAACGGTCAGGGCTTTAAAAGTAAATTAAGGTTTACAGAGTTGCTACCTGTATTGGCCATAGTACATTTTAACTATTTGAGTCACAGATAACAAACCCTGAGTTGAATAAAGTTTTTCTACAACTGAGGAGCTTCTAGACATATTGGAGGTGAACAAAAGCAATGAGTGTAAAAAGTGACTAAAACACTGATGCCCATTAAGAAAATGCCCATCAACTTCTGGCTTCCACCTATACATAAGTAAAAAGTGTCATCTGGATTGTACACCTCTTCCAAGTGCTTCTGTGCTAGGGAAGGACTTCGTCCATAGGGAATGTCAGAGGGAGTTAATTCATTGTTGCTGAGCAAAAATCCCAATTTAACTGATAGCATGTTGTCCAGGAAAACATTATTCATGATCACAGAGTAATATCTAGATTTCCCTTCCCACCTGCTACAGAAGCAGCTGTTCTCTAGTTCACCTTTTATTATTTAGGCAATAAAACTTACAGTACCTTTCTTGTCAATCTTTGTTTGATTTCTCTTCTTTCTTCCTGCTCTGTCTGATCATTCCTTTCTGTGAAAGATTAAAATAGGAAAAAAATAACAAAGAGAAACAGGTTGAAACTTTCTTTCCTTTAGCAGGGAAGTGTACTCAAGATATCCATATTTCTGGGAGCTGAAGGTAAGATATTGAGACCTTTTTCCACATCACTGTTTCCGTGTTTTTTCCCACTTTGTCAATCACTGCTCAGGAGATCATGGTTTCATTATACAGAAATACTTGTACTAAGCGAAGCTTTGCTGTTATCCCAGGCTGGTCTCCTCAGCCCTCTGTGCATTAGAAACAACCAGTTATGGCCGCTGTTTAAGGAAGTAGACATCTCTGTGTGTGTCTGTCTCTCTCACTGATTTCCTCTTTCTCCCCAAATATCTTTATCTGTGTATTTACATCTAGCACCTAGATGCCACATAAAAATAGCTATAGTAGACTAAGTAAATAAATGTATGTGTACATTTCAATATAAATAGCGCTGCCACTACTTTTTTTTTCTTAATAAGTGTACAGACTTTTTAACCCACATAAATGTGGAACACCTTCTTCAGCTTCTGGGCACCATATGCTTATATGTTCAGACAGTATTTCAAATCCATGAACCTACCTGACTCTCCATTGCTGAAGTGTGAACACTGTTATATGAAAGTGCCATTTAAAGGAGCCCAAGTCCCTCAGCAAAATTAGCTTTGCTTGGTAAGTTGTGACTATTAACATTCAAGCTGTGCTTGCACCTACACTTGGAAGCTAAAAATAGACCAAAGTGCTGAGATATAGTATAAAATATAAGCTTCCCTCTGGGATACAAGATAATGGCTGTCCTATTTCTGGTGCTTCCTGTTGCCAAATAAAGCCTCAGGTCCCTGACCTGAACACAGCTCCATTCCTAGAAAAGAGATTTCAATAATCAGCACTCCTAGAAACACTGCTAGGTTTGGTAAGGGAAATCCTGCCATTTGCAGTTAACACAATTCACATTATCTGCCTTTATTTAAAAGATGCATTTCAAATATTTGTGCATTTGTGGGATTGGTTTATATATTGTGCTTTTCTGTAATTTTTCTAAGAGAGTCATCTTGGATTAGGGTGTTTTAGAAAAGGTAATGAAATGCTGTTTGTGCTTAATTCTTTAGACAAGTGATAAACCAGAAGAAACCATACTTTTGGGATATAATCAGAAAGCTGATGATACAATTAGAAAAACATTGTGAAAGTGTCACATATAAGGCCAGCCACGAGGGATTTAACAGATACTAAGTTTTTCAGATTTCTTAAAAATAGGCCATAGGCAACTCCCAAGTGCAGCCTCCATGTGAAAAGATTGAAATAAAGTCAGATCGTTGTTTTTTTAAAAGAAAAAAAATCCTGAAAAATGCCATCATTACTACCAAGGTCACCAGCAAGGTCTTTGAAGAATTGATCTTTGAAAGTTCCTGTCAGAGTGCTTCTTTGTGCCAGGTGCTCTGTTGAACACCTCCTCCAAGAAGTCCTTCCTGTTAGCCTAAGCCCACAGACCTCTCCCTCTGAGCTCCCTATAGGAGTTAGTTATATAGTTATATGTTAGTTATATAGTTATATGTTTCTGAATCTCTTATTTCCAGACCCAGAAAATCCTGTGTGTTATACAAAGCAAGGGACCCATAATCAGGACCACTATACCCATATTTTCTGGAAATAGCTCTAGCAGCTTGGACAGTTATACATGAGTCTTCCATAAATATCCAGAAATGTGTTACAGCTTCTGACGCAGTAAAGAAGATGGGCAGTGGAGTTAGGCAGACCTGGGGTTGAACTCTAGTGCTATCCTTTTTCCAATACTCATTTGTTAGAAAGTGCAAACCTCACAAATATGTTGCAATGATTAAGTGAGTAAATATATACCAAGTACTGAATACAGTGCCTGGCACAGATTGGGCCATATAAAGAGTTACCATCATCATATAAAGGGGTCACTGCTCTTCTATTTCCGTGTTATACTGTTACATGAGCAGAGTTCTGAGTATTTCTCAGATATTATTGCAATTAGTCATGAGTGCACCACTTGAAGCAAATACAAAAGTCACATTCTAAGGATTACAAGAAGAAAATGCAATATATTATGAATTCTTGAAGTCCTGTGTATTAAGAGCCTATGAGTATGATGTTCCATACTGGGCTATATATAGTTACCCCATTCTCAGCAGAACAAAAGAAAAACCAAATACCCACCACAAACCTAGCAGTAAATTCTCAAGTCCTCCCACTCAGGACACTTGAGAGGGCTTCCAAGCTAAGGACAGACCTACATTCACTAATGAAGGCACAGTGTTTATGGCAGGATTGCCATGGCCACTACAGAGAAAACCCATTTTCCCTTTTGAGCACTGAAGGTAAGTGACTCAGTTTCAGTTATATACTTACTAGGTCTCTATTCACCAAAGATAGTTCTATTTCTAAGGCTCTGATATTTATTTCCAAAGAATAACACAATTAGAAGCACTTTCTGGCGGGAAGAGCTGGCTGCCCACAATAGGAAGGAAGAGGCCGCTACTGAAAGAAGACATGGTTCCTGGGTTAAAAGTCTGGGCTGTCATACTCTCTTCCTGTTGCTGACAGCGGGCTACTCGGAATGTGGAGCTTCCTGTGTCTTGAACTTGCCCGGTTCGTCTAGACTGCTACTTTTACTACATCTATAACTTATAAGCTTGATAAAGAAGTGACTTAATTTTTAAAAATTCAAATATTTGGCAACTGAAACCGCTTGACTTTTCTGTCTGCCTACTTAATTAAGCATGTTATCAATGAAAAGCTTTTCTTTAAATCCTCAGAGATGGTATAATTAACATAGAACAGTAGTCACCATATCTTAAGTTTAAAAAGTAAAATAAGGTCTTTATCTGAGAGTTATTTTCAACAATCTATAAAGGAGGGGATCGTTTTAGGCAGTTAATGAAGGCATTGAGGCAAAGAAAGGAAAGAGGAATCGATTCAAGTTCAGTACCCAGACCAACAAGGGGCTCTGCCGTGTTTTCTGACAAAGTCAGCTTGGTACCATTATAACTTCACAAAAAGATGTTCACAAATAAGAAACTTGGAGAAAGTCTGTAGTATTCCTCCCATAAATATTTTTTAAAAGTCCTTTAAAAATCCAAGCCATTAGAAGATACTTTCTGTCGAAAATGTTTTAAAAACAAAAAGACCAGGTAGATAAAGAACTATCTGAGAAACACTTTTTCAAGAGGTTTGGCCACCCCTAAATCACTGACTTTATGGAATATTTGATGGAATATAGTGTCCTAGAGCAGGGAGGTTACTCATGAACACTGATGCTCAGCATATGCTGTAATTGTCTACCTAACAGGAAATGCAAAGGGGGGTGCAAGGCTGGGAGTGACAGAGGGTCCTGGAACCACAAAGTCCTGAGCCACAGGAAAGCTTCCCATGGCTTCACTGTTTCCCTGAGGTGACTGCTTTATTCCTCCCAAGTGTAACAGGCAAGGGGCGTGTCCTTCTCTAGTGGGATTTATGATTCAGTTCATGCTTTACCTGTGATTTCTGTAGCCATGAAGAACCCCCACCCAAAACTGCCAGGAAAGCCCTGTTTGAAACCTAATGCATTTAGACATATGGGACTGACTAACTCTGAAAATAAGAACATCTTTATGCTAAGAGGAGAGGAGCTTTTTTTTTTTTTTTTAATTTTAAAAGAATGTTTCTAGATATATCAGCTTTCCTTTGGGGCTTGCTTTCAGAATTCCTCAGTGGCTCAGGTTTACTGGGAGCATGGAGCATTCTGCTTGCAGAGAAGGGCTGGGTTATGGGAACTCAGGATTTGCGCAACAGCCTCAGCACACGTGAGGAAAAACCTCTAGAGGAATCACCAGCTACTCACGTTTCAAGATATTTCTTCTCTCCAGCTCTTCCACAGCAGGTCTTTGGCTCAGCCGTCTGCGGAAAAACACTAGAATTACATTTTGCACCATAGTGGCTCCCTGCAAATTCCACCTAGGGTCTGCAAGGATGAGAGGTGGCTGGCACACCCCTATAGAGTGCCTCCCAAAATTGGGAGGAGAGAAGGTGAACCTTTGGTTGTTGCCTCTTGCTGGCAAAGTCAAGTCAGACTTCCAGGTGAGAGTGAAAGCTGCCGTGTCACAGAGATAACACTAGGGTAGTCCTTGCTCCAACTCCACATGTGCAGGTCTTCATTTTTCCCATCTGTCGCCCAAACCTCGCCTGGTCTGGACTGTTCACTGGAGCAGTGTATTTAAGCAGCAAAGAGATCTGTTCAGGAAATTCCTTTTCCTGCCCATTGGCTTAGGAATGGGTAGCTAGCACCACCTGTTTTCAGGCTTCTGGGTCCAGAGGTGCTGGGAGATCCATGCCTCCTATCACTGCCTCCGTCGTCAGCACAGGAGACACCAGCCGTGGAAACACTGATCTCTCCTTCCGGCTTTCTGCCTGCTGAACTGCTGAGCAGAGCTGCCTCTTGTCAGCAAGCATGCAGCTCAGCTCAGGCACTGAATAAAGACTGGGAATCTCTTCCAGCCAGCACAGCTAACAGAGCTGAGCCCACCCACACACGCTCCCCTCCCATCAGCCCAGAGGAACTGTGCGATGTGCAGACAAATTATCTCTTTTTCAAATGGTCTCTCATTGAGGGAGTTGGAGGATGCAGCCAACAACAATCACCACCAAAAAACATAAAGGGTTTGTCAGGAGAAGGAGGCATCATTAGCCAAAATTAATGCCAAGCTCTGATTATTCTTGTGACTACACTAATGTTGTCCTTGGGCCAAAGCCAGAAACCTCCCCACTTCCAGATCCTCTAACCACAGCAGGGAGTCAACAGAGCCTAGTATTTGAATGCCCAGAATTTAGAGCTATATTTTGCCCCAGTGAGGATGTTGCCGCCATTTAGAAATTATTTATCTCCTATTTATAAGCCTTGTCCCAGCAGAAAGCCTAGGGCGTTGCGGGCTCAGCTGCTCCGCCCTTCACACTAGAATACAACCCTTTGTGGTTCCGCTCCCCTGGGGGTTTTGTCTTCTGGCTCTGTGGGTGGTTGCTTCCATATAACTTGATGTTCGGTGAGACTTGAACCTGCCCCCTGAGGATTCCTGGCTGGAATCCAGTGGCAAGGTCCTCCCCAGTCTGTCCCAAACAATGCGTGCAAAGCCTAGCTCCTAAATGTTGCACCTGCAGTCTGGTCAAAACACCCCAAAGGCCACTGACTCAAGCCCTCAGGAAATGACCAAATACTTGTGATGTGCCAGGCACCGTTCCAAGCCCCCAGAACACAGTGCTGAAGACGGGACGCCTTCCCTGCCCTTGGGAAGCTCATAGTCTAGAGCACACTTGTCTAACCTGCGGCCCGCAATCTGCACGCCGCTCATAACAGCTTTGAAGGAGGCCCAACACAAATTCAAAAACTTTCTTAAAACATGAGATTTTTTTTGCAATTATTTTTAGCTCATCAGCTATCGTTAATGTATTTTATGTGTGGCTCGAGACTATTCCTCTTCCCGTGTGGCCCAGGGAAGCTGGAAAATTGGACACCCCTGGTCTAGTGGGAAAGGCAGACAGACAATAAACAAATGAACAAAACCATCTCAGAGAGTGGTCAATGCCATAGAGGAAATGAAATGGGGGATACGGTGGGTGAGTGGTTGTGCAGGGGCAGATACGTTCAGAATGGCAGAGATACATTTCCACTGAGATGTACCCAAATGAAGAGACGGAGCCAGTGTGGGAAGACCACAGCTCTCTCCACAGCATCTCTTAACTATTCACACATTGGGCTTAAAAATCGACAGAGCGGGGATGGTGGTAATCAAGGCAGGCTTCATGGAAGAGGAAACTTCTGACAGTTATACAGAATCCACTTGGTACAGCAGTGTCTGCAAAGGTCTTGGAGAAGGAATTAGGTAAATGAAAAAAAATCATCAGGAAATTGGAGTTGTCTGGAGTCTCCCCTTAGAGCTGGGCACCCAGCATTAGCTCACTTCTCAATGTATCTGAGTCTCCATAAAAAGCAATGGCAAGAGAACCCGACAGCCTCTCTGTGTCTGAATAATGGTGGAGCAGGCCGCCATAGGAGAAGCACAAACAAGCCAGACCCTTGGCCCCAATGCTGGCCACAGAAGGGCTCTGAAGCAGGAAGGAGATGGGGTGGAGGGGAAGGGGACACTTTTGGAGCAATAGAAACGAAAAATCCCTTAAGCTCAGCAGGAGTGGGTGGGCCATGAGTCTTTACCCATGAAAAGGTACTTTCTTTACACAGCTCCTCTGGCTAAGAGGGAGAGGCTATGTGTAGGAATGAGATCCTGGGAAGTAAAAGACGTGGAGTCCTAATAAGTAAGCAACAATGAGGAAGGGGTCCTAGGTCGGGGAGAAAAATTGTTCTGAGAGCTGGCTAATCACAGACAACGTACTACTGGCATGACATCCTGTTTCCAAATACCTTGTTCCACTAGAAGTCCCAGCAGCACGACCTTATCAGCACCCTCGTCTGCACAAGCTTCTCCAGCACAACCCTAGATAACTTCCCTCCAGCCCCTTCTCTGCTGTGCTGCTGGTTACACCCTTGCAATGGATCTTCATACTTTCATCTGCCTTTCTTTACCTACAGCTATCTCGGTAAACTCTTCTACTGTCCGCGATGCTGGTCCCAGTCATTTGTATTTTACGTGTGGCTCAAGAAAATTCTTAAGCCAGCTGCCCAGCAAGGGACACCCATAGGGACACCTGAGGAGTGAGGCTGTGCACTTCCTCAAATCTAAGAAGTACCCCAAATCTCCCTGGAGGCTGGTGTCCACTGGCATGGCCCCGAACAAGGCTTTTTCCTTTCTTTGTTGGAAACTTGTCTTCTCATCTAAAATGAGAATTAGTATCAGACCCTCTTAGAGTTCTGAGAATTAAATGAGATCATGCACAAAAATGTTTGTGACAATGCATGCCTGGGATATAGTAGTTTCTCAACCCAACCTGCGACTTGCCAGCTTATCATGGACCATGTTCCCAGAAAGGCATTTCATCCAATTGATACACCTTAGGAAAGTGTGGACATCAAACCAGCAAAAGCTATGCCACTGAGCAAGGCGCAGAGGCAGTCTGGTGGCCCAACTGCTCACTGCAGGACTTAATCTAGCTGCCAAGCTTCTCACCGAATGTCACCAAGCAGTAAGGCACAGCTGGCTGCCAGGGTGCTCTAGAATATGCAGTCCTCTGGGTGGACACAGCCTCGTAGGTACAGGGTTGTAAACAGAGCAAAACCATACCCAGGCCAGGACCCCACTGGCTTGTCACCAACCCGCCTCTCTACCCGAAGAGTGCCAGGCCCCCACAGCTGGAGGGGCAGAGGCAGAGCTCCAGTCAGCACTGTAGGCCCCAAGACACTCCCTCTAGTTCTCACTAGCAGAGGGGATTGAGGTGAGCAAGAAGACCCCTGATTGCCAGATGATGGTGCTGAGCAGGGTATTAGGGTGGTGCCACCAACTCAACAAGGCCAGGCCACAGTTCAGACTAGACTCGAACCTGGACACTAATGGCTTCCAGAAAGTGACACTTCAGTTGGGACTTAGAGGATGAGTGGGATCGCTAGGTGAGGAGGGGAGATAGGAGCACTGGAGGCAGAACAGAGGGTATGTGCAAAGGTCCTGAGGTGGGCTCGTTTACGTTGCACGAAGGTACGTGTGCACCGAGGCTGAGCAGGGGCAGGACCCACACAGCCTGGCATCCCTGGAGAGGGAGGAGTCTGGATTCCCTCCTGAAACCCTAGAGTGGCACTGAAGGATTCAGAGCAGACCTGGGTGAGATGGGGTACGGGTGTACAAGATTAGGTCTGCATTTGGAAACACTCTCTGGACTCTTTCAGATTTCTATCTAACAAAGACAGAGTGGAACCCACGACCAAGAGACACAGACCTGCTCAGACCCCCACCAGATACCAAGGACAAAGCGCCACAGGCCTGTGAGTGGCTGACAGGCCCCTGAAATGTTTAAGACTTGGGGAAGAAGTTGATTGTAGAGCAAAAACACCCCAAACTCCAAATTAATACTTATTACCCTAAGTGCATATAAAAGCTATCCTTTGTCCACCTGCTACCTGAAGCTTAACTAACTCTTCATGCAGAGTTGGGACTTCCAAAAGGAAGAATGGCGATGAGCCTGATGCCAAGGGCAGGCAATTACTATGCCCATGTTACAGACGAGACCCTCGAGGCTCAGAGAGGATTGTGATCAGCAGCTACTACGGCTGGAATCGGAACCCACAGCCAGTTCCAGATGCTGGGAGGGCTGAGGCAGGGAGGAACACCCACACCACCAGCTGGCAGGCACCAGCCAGCAAGGACACAGCTGGGACGAGGCCCAGGAAACATTCTCCCAGCACAGAAAGTGAGGTACAGGCAGAGGCATGCATCACAGCCACCACCCCGCCCCGCAGCCTGCTGGCCCCTGCTTGACACCCAGTGGTCACTCAGGCCAGGGTGACCCAGGATACTTTCTGGGCAGAACCAGGGCCAGGAAAAGGGCAGTCAGGCTGAATGAGTCATGAAGCTCTGTGAGAGCAGACCCCAGGTATCTCCTTCCCTACGCAGAACCCCAGAGCCAGCAGCACGGGCAAGAGGAGCCGCTTGCATCTAGGAGCAAAGGAAAAGGGGCCGGGGCCAGCTCCTCTCCCTCACCACACAGCCTGCTGGGGCCTGGCTGGGGTGGGGATGCTGATGCCACCAGGGTTTCCTGGGCTTTGAGCCTCAGGAGCAAGGTGCTCTCCGAGGAGCCGCTGGAGACACCGCCAGAGCATTGCTGGGCTTTGGGAGCTGCAAAAGGCCTTAGGGAGGGGTGGGGCAGGGTAGGTGGGAGTCCACAACCCCTGTGGGATTCCCCAACCCTCCCCACCCTCTGCAGCTGCTCACAACTTCTGATTCAGAAATGGGGCTGCAGGTGAC